AAAGGCTGACAAGTGTAGAGTCTTCTCTTGTGTTGTTGGAAGAAGGTGTTTGCTATGACCACTGCGTTCTCTTGGCAGAACTCTATTAGCCATTGCCCTACTTCATTCTGTGCTCCAAGGCCAAATTTGCCTGTTATTTCAGGTGTTTCTTGACTTCCTACTTTTGCATTCTAGTCCCCTATAATGAAAAGGACATCTTTTCTGGGTGTTAGTTCTAGAAGGTTTTGTAGGTCTTCATAGAACTGTTAAGCTTCAGCTTCCACAACAACACAAGAGAAGACTCTACACATGGACATCACAAAATGGTCAATACCAAAATCAGACTGATTATATTCTTTGAAGCCAAAGATAGAAAACCTCTATACAATCAGCAAAAACAAGACCAGGAGCTGACTATGGCTCAGATCACAAACTCCTTATTGCCAAATTCAGAGTTAAATTGAAGAAAGTAGGGAAAACCACTAGACCATTCAGGTATGACCTAAATCAAATCCCTTATGATTATACAGTGGAAGTGAGAAATAGATTTAAGGGACTAGATCTGATAGACAGAATGCCTGATGAGCTATGGATGGAGGTTCTTGACATTGTACAGAAGACAGGGATCAAGACCATCCCCAAGAAAAAGAAATGCAGAAAAGCAAAATGGCTGTCTGAGGAGGACTTAGAAATAGCTGAGAAAAGAAGAGAAGTGAAAGCAAAGGTGAAAGGGAAAGATACCCATCTGAATGCAGAGTTCCAAAGAATAGCAAGGAGAGATAAGAAAGCCTTCCTCACTGATCAGTGCAAGGAAATAGAGGAACACAATAGAATGGGAAAGACTAGAGATCTCTTCAAGAAAACTGGAGATACCAAGGGAATATTTCATGCAAAGATGGGCTCAATAAAGGAAATAAATGATAGGGACCTAACAGAAGCAGAAGATATTAAGAAGAGGTGGCAAGAATACACAGAACTGTACAAAAAAGATCTTCACAATGCAGATAATCATGATGGTGTGATCACTCACCTAGAGCCAGACATCCTAGAATGTGAAGTCAAGTGGGCCCTAGGAAGCATCACTAAGAACAAAACTAGTGGAGGTGATGGAATTCCAGCTGAGCTATTTCAAATCCTAAAAGATGATGCTGTGAAAGTGCTGCACTCAATATGCCAGCAAATTTGGAAAACTCAGCAGGGCCACAGGACTGAAAAATGTCAGTTTTCATTCCAACCGCTAAGAGAGGCAAACTACCGCACAACTGCACTCATCTCACACGCTAGTAAAGTAATGCTCAAAATTCTCCAAGCCAGGCTTCAACAATATGCGAACCGTGAACTTCCAGGCATTCAAGCTAGTTTTAGAAAATGCAGAGGAACCAGAGATCAAATTGTGAACATCTGCTGGATCATCAAAAAGGCAAGAGAGTTGCAGAAAAACATCTATTTCTGCTTTATTGATTATGCCAAAGCCTTTGACTGTGTGGATCACAATAAACTGTGGAAAATTCTGAAAGAAATGGGAATACCAGACCATCTGACCTGTCTCTTGAGAAACCTGTATGCAGGCCAGGAAGCAACAGTTAGAACTGGACGTGGAACAATGGATTGGTTCCAAATAGGAAAAGGAGTACGTCAAGGCTGTAAATTGTCACCATGCTTATTTAACTTATATGCAGAGTACATCATGAGAAACGCTGGGCTGGAGGAAGCACAAGCTGGAATCAAGATTGCTGGGAGAAATATCAATAACCTCAGATATGCAGATGACACCACCCTTCTGGCAGAAAGTGAAGAGGAACTAAAGAGCCTCTTGATGAAAATGAAAGAGGAGAGTGAAAAAGTTGGCTTAAAGCTCAACATTCAGAAAACTAAGATCATGCATCTGGTCCCATCACTTCATGGCAAATAGATGGGGAAACAGTGGAATCAGTGGCAGGCTTTATTTTTGAAGGGCTCCAAAATCACTGCAGATGGTGACTGCAGCCATAAAATTAAACAACGCTTACGCCTTGGATGGAAATTTATGACCAACCTAGACAGTATATTAAAAAGCAGAGAAATTACTTTGCCAAAAAAGGTCTGTCTAGTCAAGGCTATGGTTTATCCAGTAGTCATGTGTGGACGTGACACTTGGACTATAAAGAAAGCTGAGTGCAGAAAAATTGATGCTTTTGAACTGTGGTGTTGGAGAAGACTCTTGAGAGTCCCTTGGACTGCAAGGAGATCTAACCAGTCCATCTTAAAGGAGATCAGTCCTGGGTATTCACTGGAAGGACTAATGTTGAAGCTGAAACTCCAGTACTTTGGCCACCTGATGCGAAGAACTGACTCACTGGAAAAGACCCTGATGCTGGGAAAGATTAAAGGTGGGAGGAGATGGGGACAACAGAGGTTGAGATGGTTGGATGGCATCACCGAGTCGATGACATGAGTTTGGGTAAACTCCAGGAGTTGGTGTTGGACAGGGAGGCCTGGCGTGCTGCAGTCCATGGGGTCGCAAAGAGTTGGGCACGACTGAGCGACTGAACTGAACTGAAAGGCTGACATGAATTATTTTCTATCATTTCCATGTATCTGTCTTATTTGGTAGGGACAATGTGTTATAATTCTTTTTCTCCCATATCATTGTCTATCACAGGCCTGAAGGAACTTGCTAAACCACAATCTGTAGGCTAATTTGGGAAATACAAAGTGCCTCAATAGCCTTTTATAAAGATTGTTGTTTTTTTTGAATTGAGGTAAACCTGATGATATTTTAAAAAAGAAAATAAAAGCATTACCCATGACATTTTTCACAGAACTGGAACAAATAATCCAAAACTTATATGGAACTATAAAAGACTCAGAATTGCCAAAGCAATATTGAGGAAAGAAAACAAAGCAGGAGGCATAACTCTCCCAAACTTTAGACAAAACTACAAATCTACAGTAATCAAAACAGTGGTATTGGTACAAAAGCAGACAGATGGATCAGTGGAACAGAATAGCCAGCCCAGGAATAAACCCATACACAAAGGTGGTGGTGGTGGGTTAGTCGCTAAGTCCTTTCCAATTCTTGCGACCCCACGGACTGTAGCCCACCAGGCTCCTCTGTCCATGGGATTTCCCAGGCAAGAGTACTGGGGTGGGTTGCCATTTCGTTCTTCAGGATCCTGACCCAGGGCTCGAACCCACATCTCCTGCATTGCAGGCAGATCCTTTTATCGCTGAGCGCCAGGGAAGCCCGCACACAAAAAGGAGGCAAAAATGTAAAACTGGAAAAAAGACAGTCTCTGCAGGAAGTGGCGCTGGGAAAGTTAGACAGCTGCACATAAATCAGTGACGCCAGAACACATCCTCACACCGTGCACACAAACAAACTCAGAATGGCTCAAAGACTTAAACATGAGACATGACACCGTAAAACTCCGAGAAGACAGCATAGGCAAAACATTCTTCGACATAAACTGCACCAGTGTTTTTCTTAGGTCAGCCCCCCAAGGCAACAGTAATAAAAACAAAAATAAATAAATGGGACCTAATCAAACTTACAAGCTTCTGTACAGTAAAGGAAACCATAAAAAACACAGATACATACAAATGAAAAGACAATCTACGGAATGGGAGAAAATATTTGCAAATGAGGCAACTGACAAGGACTTAATCTCCAAAATATACACACAGCTCATACAACTCAACCACCAAATAAAACCCAATCGAAAAATGGGCAGAAGATATTAACAGACATTTCTCCAAAGAAGACATACAGAAGGCCAGTGGGTACATGAAAAGATGTTCAACATCATTAGTAATTAGAGAAATGCAAATCAAAACTACAACGAGGTAACACCATACACCAGTCACAGTGGCCATCATTAAAATGTCTACAAATAACAGATGCTGGAGAGGATGTGGAGAAAAGGGCATCCTCCTTCACTGCTGGTGTGACTATAAATCGTACAGCCACTGTGGGGAACAGTATGGAGGGTCCTCAAAAAACTAAAAATAGAGCTACCACATGATCCAGTAATCCCACTCCTGGGCACATACCCAGACAAATCTATAATTCAAAAAGATATACACATACACAACCCTATATATGCATGCTCAGTTGCTTCATTTTTATCCAACTATTTGTGACCCCATGGACTGTAATCCACCAGGCTCCTCTGTCAGTGGGATTCTTCCAGCAACAATAGTGGAGTGGGTTGCATGCCCTCCTCCAGGGGATCTTCCTGACCCAGGGATCGAACCTGGGTCTCCTGCATCTCCTGCACTGCAGGCAGATTCTTTACCGCTGAGCCACTGGAGAAGCCCACCTAGGTTCACAGCAGCACTGTTCACAAGAGCCAACATATAAAAACAACCTAAATATCCATGAACAGATGAATGGATAAAGGAAAGGTAGTACATATCTACAGTGGAATACTATTCAGTCATAAAAAGGATGAAATAACACCATTTGCAGCAACATGGATGCAACTAGAGATTATCATACTAAATGAAGTCAGAAAGGGAAAGACAAATACCATATGATATCACTTACACGTGAAATCTAAAATATGGCACAAATGAACGTACTTACAGATCAGAAACAGACTCATGAACACAGAGAACAGACTTGGGGTTGCCAAAGGGGAGAAGGGCAGAATTGGGAGTTTGGAGTTGGTAGATACAAACTATTACATTTAAAATGAATACACCACAAGGTCCTACTGTATAGTACAGGGAACTATATCCAACCCCCTGGGATAAACTATAATGAAAAAGAGTATTTAAAAGAATGTAATTTAAAAAAACAACTGAGCAAACTAATTGCTTTATAAAATAAAGCCATATTTAGGATATACATGAGTAGATTTATGACAATATCACTGTGACTCTTGCTTCACTAAACTTAGATGTAACAAAGTTAAGATGTTCTGCACATGAAAAACTGTTGAACATTTTATTGAATCTGTGAGACCCCCCCCAATAAGACAATTTCATCTTGTATTTCCTATTCCTTCTCTCAACTGGTCAGTTGTAGTTAATCTTACCTTAAACTTCCCATCTGATGAGAAGATGCTAACCCATTTATTATCATAATCAGCAATGATTATGTCCCCACTGGGATGCACAGCTACTCCTGTGGGACGCTGTAGCTGCCCAGGAGAGCGTCCTCGTATGCCAAAACGACTTTTGAACTGTCCATCATTGGAAAATATCTGAAAAACAAATTACATTCATTGCAATGTGAACAGAAATCATCAGGAAAAAACAGGGAAGAATATTTGTCATAAGGACTATAGGGCAGAACATACAAAGCCTATTTGAAGTAAAGCCTACACACACATGATAAGCTTCCCTTTCTTTTCTTGCATCTTAAGCCTTAAGTAGGAAACTGCACCTGTATTTATTTTATCAATATAAGTTGTTAAAGGTATACAATTAGGAGCCATACTTGCACACATTGGTTGTTACTGTCAGCAATCAATATCTTTCCACTTGTAGATGCTGCTACCCCTTGAAGATTTGTGAATTCTCCTTTGTTTCTTCCTTTGGTACCTAAAAATAAATGATAAAACCAGAGAAAATTAGGGACTTCCTTGGTGGTCCACCAGTTAAGACTCCATGCTTCCATTGCAGGGGGCACGGGTTTGATCCCTGGCTGGGGGACTAAGATCCTATGTGACACATGGAGTAGCCAAAAAAAAACAAAACAATCAAATACCACAGAAGATTAAACAATAGAGAGTTAAATTTCTCAGTTATAGCAAGAGAATTATTCAGTCCTCTATAAGTAGCCTGAGAATGCAATATTTTTTAAATTACACTTTAAAAAAAGAGGAACCCTTCCCACTGACCTAATCCATAGTCTACTAAACTTGTCTTTCGGACCAATAAAGTCTTTGCAACATCACGTTATGGGGGGCAAATACCAATCTTTTCTTATGAACCTGTGGCTGCAGCTAGTATGATTAAAATATACTTAGATTCCACAAAGACATGATTATAAAAACTAATTACACTATTGAGGATATTTAGTAGCAGAGGGTCTTATTTTGGGGTTGTGCCAAAATCCCTTCTCCAATTCAGCAGCTCTTAGAAACCTGGACACTTGACTTCCAGCACTTTTAACTAACTACAAGGTCACAGGTGTTTTAAAACCAGCAGGCTGATATTCAACCATTGGAGTTATCTACAAACTATTTTCAAAGACTCAGTATCTCATTAAGCTTCTCTCTCCTGTAAAAGGTATCCTGACATGCTTTCTAGATTAAATAAATAAGAAAGGCAAAAGAAAATTAATTAATGTAAGAAAATTAATGTAAGAAAATTAATCAATGTAAGTAACAGCCTCATCCTTCCTAGAGTTTTTTACCAAAGAGATGAAGTAGGAGGGAAAAAAAGCTTAAAGATGTCTATGGTTAACAGATGTTTGTTTTTATTTCAAAAGAAGTAAATAAATAAAATAACTTATTTTAATAGGACCATGTAAATATTAAAGGATGGAAATAAACTTTGCTCGGAAATGACTGGGAAGGAGGGTTAAATTTTCACAGTTGGAGAGCCAGAGCTAGGCCTCAGTTTTTTAATTTCATTTACATTCAAAAGAGTAACTTGATATTTGTTTTTAGATGTCAATGCAATTCCCCAGGAGAGCAAAAAGAGGCTGGCAGTGGCCAATGTCAAGGCCCTATTGAGGTTGCTTAAGAACAGGGAGACTCTTCAGAAACTGGTTTCTGCATTTAGGAAGTGAAACTGTGACAGAATTAAACTCAGAACAAAATCGACAACAGAATCGCTGGGTGAATCATCTTCTCAGCTGGTTCTTATCAAATCCACAAGAGAGTTGTTTTATTGAGATCCTGGGTCCAAACATGATGACTCATGATTTCTGTCTCTTTTTATAACATGAAATAAAAATCTGAGGCCCAGATCCTCAAAAGAACGTCTTCCACACTGTAGGACAAACAGTTCTATTTAATTTCGGATGTTTCAGAAAAGACAATCTTTATACTTATCTGCACAAAATCCCTTGAATATGAAGGTCCATGGGATCAGCTAATACTTTAAAAATGGTGTGCTGATATCTGTGTGGGGGCAGGGGCAGGAAAAGGGGTGGCAGGCCCTTGAAAGAGGTACGTGCCAATATGGTATTTGCTTTTGGGCATTCCTTCTTAAGTCTGAATAACAGCTGATTAACAGGTACAGCAAAATGAAAGCTACAATTCTTCGAAAATGCTCAGTTTATACTTTTTAAAAGGCAGTGGGGACAAGGTCAGGGTCTCGTGAGAATAAAAGCTTAAGTTATCAAAAACGTTGATAAACAAAAGGATGGAAGTTATTAGCAAGATAAGGAACTGAGGACCAAATAAAGAAACATAATAAAAAAAGAGTCCTACCAGTGGGCTGGAAAAGAAGTGACTGTAAAGAAAACTCAGGCCGTTTTGTGAAACTGGAAGTTTACCCATGGCCCAGAGGGAATGCAGGCAGAGGAAAGAAACATTGGGAACAGGACGGGAGTAAGAAGCACTGGACCGAGCAGATGAGCATTGGTGTGCTGTTCTTAAGCCTGCCTGTTGCCCTCTTTCACTTAACTTCTGGCCCATCCTGCTAACAGTGTCTACGAGTCTCTCAGTCGTGTCCGACTCTTTGCAACCCCCTGGACTATACAGTCTATGGAATTCTCCAGGCCAGAATACTGGAGCGGGCAGCCTTCCCTTCTAGAGGGGATCTTCCCCACCCAGGGATTGAACCTAGGTCTTCCACATTGCAGGCGGATTCTTTACCAGCTGAGCCACAAGGGAAGCCCCATCCGTGCTCCATGATCCATGCCAAGGACAAAGCCTATTCTATTCAGAGAAGGCTCTGCAGGTAGCAGCAGTTGAGATTTGAAAGGAAGGAAAAGATAAAGACTAGTGCTTTAGTAGATGTTCAGTGGTTCCTCTGTCCAAAATATTTAATTGTCTTTCTGAAAAAATAGAGGTGATGCAGAAGGAGGGGAATATCTGAGCAAAAAAACATGGACACCTTTTTTTTCCTTTGCAGAAATAAACACACATTTTTGAGGGTCAGTAGAAATGGGAAACAACTGTATAGGGGATGGTCAGACATATAATTGGACTCTGTATCAATATCGTTTGGAACAAGGGGAAAGAAGACTCTGCCAGCTTGAAACGGATGTGAGATGGTTCGTACATGCTCTGAGAGGAAAGCGTCTACAGTATACAGGACCACACTGCTGGGGGAGGTCCTCCCACCCCCACCACGCCCTAGGTGTATGTGCCGGCCCAACTGTCACTCTTGGTCTCAAGTTAACGAGAGCTTGAGATCGCTGCCGCACATGTCAATAAAATCCCAGGGCTGGAGGCACATCTGTTAGATGGCTTATATATATATTTTTAAAATTATATGGAACAGGCATTGCCATTTCCTGAGGATTAAAGGAAATCTAGCAGTATACTTGAGGGACAACTCATGCTGACTATTTTTACAAGGAAAATCTTAATGTTGAGTAATGATATGCACAGAATCATTATGCTGAACTGCCCAAAGTCCAAGTGTTTAAAAGTGTCTTGGGTCCAAAATAAACAGAAATTCCAGAAGTTAGAAATAATTTGGAGTGATGTGTTCCTTTTCAATATATTTAGTAAGACTATTTAGTCCAAAGAAAAATGTCTAGCCCGCCACAAAGTATTCTATTTAGGAAAACCAGTTCTTTCATAACAAATATAAGTGAAGCATAAAACATATATAGTCATCATAAAATCTTTCTCTCTCTAACAGCTACATCTGGGCTATAAAATGAATAATGTGAGTTTTTAAAGTAATTATAAACTATTTGGCAACAACTCCATAAGATGATTATACTTGTTTCCCCCAGATTTTAAACTAGCATATGAAGCACAGAATGACTTTTTATCAGCTTCTTATCCATGCTCCTGCCCATGCCTCTAGGAAGATTACAGAAGTAAGGTAATAAGTTCCTAGGCTGAAATAGGGGATCACAATTGCAAATTTCTTCCCACTCCCACTCCAACCTAGTAAGAAAATTAATGCTAAATACACCTAGATACTTAGGTAACGCAAAAGGATGAAACAGCTAGACACAGGGTTTAACACAGGATTTTCAACCAAGTAGGTGCTTAACATGTATTTGCTGAACGAATGGGTCTCTAAATGAAATATGAATGACTGAGTAAATGACAAGCCACATTATGTCATGGGAAAAAGAAGTGTTCAGTAATAGTGATAGCACTATCATTCATATACATTCTCTGACGCACTCCCTGTCACAACCCCAAGAGTCATCAGCAGGATAAACATCATCATTCCATTTTAAAGATGAGGAATTGAAGCTAGACATATCAGAGTTAGCAAAGGGACAGAGCAATGAATAAAACCTGGTTCTCCTAACCCTTTACAAAATACATATTTTTAATACATACATTGCTTCTCTCTAATTGGGGATCAGGTTTCTGAGGTGAGGACAATTATTCTTTGGGTTCACATGAGCCATGCTTGATCCATAAAAATTTTTGAGGAAATTCCGTTTTAACTGGTTCACTGTCTCCCTCATTAAACTATGAGCTCCCCAGGGGAAGCTGCAACATCTGTCCTGTTCTCTGCTGCAGCTTACAATACAGTGCGGCGTCTGGTACTTGGTAAATAGCAGTGGCATCTTTCCACATGTGAAATGCAAGAGACGTTCCCAAGGATGAGTTTCTCAAGGAGTGGGTGTCCTATAAAAACATCAGTTGCCAAATTAGCACACTCTCCTTCCTCAGAGATTTTAGAGAGGGAAGATGATGCTTTGCAAAAATGAGGCAGGGAAGAGGGGCATAAATTATCCTATCTTCCTGTAAAGCCTCTGAACTCATGCTAAGTGATTTTATACAGCCATCTGCTATCACAAGAAAGCGCACTGATCTGGATACAAATGAATGGTTCATTCACCACTTCCCAAGGACTCATTAAGGTATGCTGGATGAATTGCATAACTTGAAACGATTCATCTGTAATTCTTTCATTCCCTCCCACCTCTTCAGCTTCCCCTTTGTTCAGCGCTTTTCTTAAATAGCTCACAAAACCAGCTCACAGCTTTTAGTTAGCAAACTCTGATAGTGCAGGGAAAAACAATCTCTTGATGTTTTAAGGCTTTATCAACAGATGCGCTAAGCCACTTGCCTGTACTCCTTCAGGTTTGTTTTCCAATTTAACATTAGAGTAAGACAATAATTCACTCACAGTGGGCATGTTATGTTTTCATGTGTGGGAGGTGTCAAGTATCTCAACTTTGGAAAACTGCAGAAGTTGAAGGATATTTCAGATGAAGAGGAACTGCCGTGCAATTAAAAAGGCAGGGGCCTCAGAGTCACAGGTGGCTTGGTTCCTACTCGGGCTCTCCCGAGCCTCCACTCCTTCAGAGCTAAGGATGATTATATGTTGTCCTGGTAATTTGGTTTGTGAGGGTCAAGAGCTGTAGGGCTGGGGAGGAGCTCTGATTTCTACCACTGGCCCTTTCTACTGTGTAAGAGCTCCCCTTATGCTGATTTCAATGA